TTCCCTTCTTCCGTTTTTTTCCCCTTTTCCTTCCCTCGTTCTTCCCCTCCCCCCCCCTTTCTTTCCTTTGCTTTCTTTATTTTGTTTTCCAGTTTTTCCTTTCTTGCATCCTTTCCTTTTTTTTTTTTTTTTTTTCCAGGAGAATTTGTGATCACGTTCCTCTCATGTAATCGTGCACAGCACTTCCAGGAGTGGAAAAAATCCTCGCATTCACGCCAACTATTTGTATGGAAGTTACTTGAGATCAGTCTATGACTCTAAGGACGCAAGTACTCAGCCAAGAGGGTTGGGTTGCCATTACTCCCGTCTGCAGCAGCTCTGCAAGCTGTGTCTTGAACCTTATCAATTCCTGCTCAGCCATGCAAAAATCCCATAGTCTGAAGCGGGTTGTGTAAGCTGCCTGGAAGATTATCAGTTCCTGCGTAGAAAATAGCGATTGTCACCAATTACAAAGAAACAACAAAAGGAGAATTGTATAATTTATACAGGTTCTCATTAAACTCGAGAGGTATCTGCAACGAACAGTTTTAAGGCCTTAAACCTGACATCTTTCATCCGCTGACGACAAATTCCTGAAGGCTTCAGAATAAGGGGCTTGGTCTGGATCTCAAGATTCTCAACCTCTTTCCATCTGACTCCATGAGAGGCCAATTCTGTGCAGAGAATACTGTCACAGTGGCAGTGTGACTATTATTCACCGGAATTATCTCCAGGCGTGGTAGCCGTGCTCTTGCTGGACAGCACCGGACCATGACCTTCTTTGCATCTCTCGCGGCATGGTGTTGCCGATTTTTCACGGAGAAGAAGAAGATCAGAACCCTTCTGCGGCATGATGATGACGTTGCCAATGTTATAGATACTCCAACTGAATTCCAACATCTCAGCCACGTTCAAAAACTTGGTCACTGACTCACTGCACATTAACCAGCATACCACTGCGGCCACACGTGGCCACACCAGATAGATCTGCACATAATCATTGCAGAAATCAACACCCCTGTGTCTGTGCTAGTGATGACATCTGTATCACACACGTGGGAGCAGATTCACACATTTCTTCACACAGTCAGCATCACGCCCGACAGGATGGATGATGCCATCATTCCTACTCCCCAAAAGATGCTTTACACTGTTGACATAGGAAATGCCGTTCTCGTAATGAACAAATGCACCTCCCCCCACGTTCTCCCTTCTCCCGATTCCTGGAAACAAAGGGGGTGGGGGGGGGGAGGGGGGGGCGGGGGGAATAACGACTTCAATAAGAGCTCAGAAAAATATTTCAGGAGGCACAGCTGGAAAGATATCCACTGCTGATGCTAGGAAACAAATTGCAGTGCAACATTCCTTTTAGAAATACAGTCTCCTCAAGAAAATTTCATCACACCTGATCTCGCCACAACAGTTATTGTGTCAGTCTGAGACTGCATCCCTTATAATTTAGTTTGTCAGCTCTAACCAGACCCTGAGACCAGACCCTCAGGCTGTACCTTCATAGCTGCGGCCTCTTGCTACAAGACATCAGATCATCAGAGTCTTCGGACGCATGTATGGAAGAGGCTAGCCATGCTGTCAAAAAAAAATAAGTCCATCATAAGAGGCCTGAAGTCATGGTCCACGCAGAGAATGGAATAGCGAGAAGGATTTTCCAAAACCAGCACTGGGTGACCATTTTGCCCCGTTGTCAGTGTCGTCCCCGATTCATTTGCTCTTGCTACCTATCTTCCGCTGCTGCAGCAAGCTCTACTTTTTTCTGCAATTCTGTCCAATGTAGCAACAATGCCAATGTCCGCTGTCGCCATGTCTGGCTGATTCCGTTTGTCCAGGCTCGTACAGCGCAGCCCCAAACCTGCCACCTCCCGGGCCAAACACACATCCCAAGCGCCGGCACTTGGATCAAGAGCATTTTCAAATGTTGCACCCCCTCCTCCCATTCAATCTTCAACAATTCCCAGTGCATTCCAAAATTTCCCAGTGAGAATTTCCAAAAGTGTGACACCCAGCGCATAGATGTCTGTCTTCTCACTGCAACCCCCAGAACGCAAATATTCCGGTGCCATGTACTGAAGAGTTGTTTCCAAGGAAAGCGCGAAAAGAATCTGCTGCGACCTGCCCTCCACAATGTTGTTGGGACACACGGAGAGCCCTGTCAACCCCGCAAATCTTGGCCACAAGTTGTGATCGAGAAGTACGTTTGCTGGTTTGATGGCACCGTGGACGATGGGACTAGCATTGTCCAGCCGGTTAGAGTGGAGGAAGCATACTGCCTGAGCGACTTCTGCCATCACACGAAGGCGAACGTACCATGGGAGAAATCCTCTCGTGTGATTGTCCCCACCTGAAATCCACTGCTTCAGACTTCCGTTTGCCACGTCCTCGTACACCAAAAAACAATTCTCTTCATAACAAACTCCCAACAGCCTCAACAAATTGGGATGCTGCAACACTCTCAACCTGTCCACCACCTTGTCCTTGAAGTCCTCATGATCAGTCCCTCGACGTGTGCTTGTAACCCTCGCCATCTTCGCCATAATAGGCGCACCATCGTGGAGTTTTCCAGAGTAAACAGACTCATTGTAATCTGCATCACCGCTTCCCAGAGTCGTGTTGAAGTCGTTTGTAGCCTCCTTGAGCTCCGCCAGCGAATACACTCGCGTTGCACGCGCAGCAGCTTCATTTTTCAGTCGGAGTTTCATTTCACTGATTCTTTCGTTGAAATCTTTGATGAGGGCCACTCTCTCTAGCTCCAGCTCCTGAATCTTTTTCGTGGATTTTTCAAGCCTTTCCACGAGTACTGTCTTCTGTGCAATGAGGTTTTTCACCTCACTGTGCAGGTGTTGGACCTTTTGTGCAAGCTCTGCCCTCTCGGCCTCCAGCTCTCCGTTCCTCCTTTCTGCATTTGCAAGCCTCTCTCCCATCACTGTGATCTTCGACTTGAGCGCGCTTACCTCATCCTCTAACTGCTTCCCCCGGCTTGCTTGCATTCTATATTCTCTTGGTGATCTGCTCTCACTTTGTCAAGTTCGTTCTTATGTTTGAGTCTCATCTCCCCCAACTCTTCCTCTTTTTTCCTGGTTCGCTCAAGTTTGATGCGATCCACCTCTTCGCTTTCCAACTCCTCAATCTTCTTCTCCTTCTTCAGTTCTTGTGTCCGAACGTGTTTTTTTTCTTTTCTTGCGTCCTTTCTGTTTTTTTTTTTTTCTGCTTTCTTTCTTTTTCTTTTTTTTTTTTGCAAAAAGGGGGTTGGGAGCATCACCCGGCTTAGCTTCCTATATTTCAATAGGCAGGAAGGAATTGGGCCTGGCTTCCCTCACAGAAGGTAGGTAGGTGGTTCACCGGCCAAGCCCAAAAAGCGGGCCATGACTCGCCACGAAAACCCTAGGAACACTGTGAATATCCACCTCACAGCTTAAACCACCAGCACTTCCTAAAGTTGTCCCCCCGTTAACAAGCCACAACTTTAGGAAACGTACGGCCCACTACATAAGCGCCCAAATTCATCCGACTAGAAACGTTTCTACTCTATTTTTTTCGTTCCCATGGCCGATAGGTGGGCCGAGTACTGGTGGTTTAACCCTAATCACACTGCAGCCTGTCCTTTTTTTTTTTTTTTTTTTTTTTTTTTTTTTTTAATAATTGAACCCTGCACCGGCAGATGGGAGTGATGATAAGAGCATGCACTCCTACCTGTTTACTAATCTCAGCATGAGTGTATGTACTACACAAAAAATCAAAGAGTAAGAAATCAGGGGCGTGGTCCCACTAGCAAAGAGGATTGGATTGAAGGCCTTAATTTGGCCGCATTTCTGGACAAGTGCAGAAAATCGAGATTGAACACCTTTTCTGCATCTCTGCCTACAACAGGCCCAGATTCAGGATCATAATTCAATCCCCGTTGGTTGCTAGTGGGACCGTGCCCCAGGTCAATCCCGAACACGGCGGTTAATCCGAAACACGGCACTGTGCAGTTTGCGAACCCACGTGAACCACAAAACCACACAAACAAATCGGTTGAAAGGATAATCAAGACGACGACCCCTGAGGCCCTCGAAACGTCCTCTCTCCCAAGAGTGAAGCCACCCTTCCACCCGCACCGGAGGAGGGTCCCACCGATCCGCAGGCCCTATAATAGCCCAACTGGGCCACCACCCGCGATCAAAAGTGGCTCGCTCAGCCATACTGCTATCACTTTCTAGAAGGACGCTCACGACCCTCCATGGTGATGCCATCACAGAGTGGAGCCCCTCCCCTCCCTCCCTTCCCAACATACAACCAAGCCACCCTGCCACTCGCACGGCAGGGTCACGCATAACGCCAGACCCCATAGCCCGACCCACCACCCCCGATTCAGGGTAGAAACTTCACCCCCTTCTTCCGTCGTTCCCTACAATATCACTCATCCATCGCCATGATGATGCCTTCACACCTTCGCAGAAGCAGAGGCTCACACCCCTTCCTCAGCCCTCCTTACGAACGGTCCACGCAAACGGTGAGGAGGAGCTCGCAAGAAGACTCACAATGCACAATTTTCTTAGAATATGACGGTGTCGTACATCAATCCACAATCCCCCCAATAAAATCAATCCACCACAATCCCAATAAAATCAATCCACACAATCCCAATAAACTCCAAACGTTCCGCTGAACCGTTCTCGTAGACCGCTAGCGCTAATAAGATTAGTGTTCGCGGATCACAAGCAACCGTAAGAGGACTAACAAATCGTGCTCTCCATAATTATAGGCCCCGAGGCTACTCTAGACAAGCTACGTTGCGAGTCGAATTCCGGAAAAATAGACAAAGGGCCGGCCAATGGTACCAGCCGGTCCTGATGCCAAACAGGTACTCCAACTAACAAAGGTCCAAAAGTCGTTCCCTCGTCCACCAGGGGGCCCCAAGTGGCTAACCGGACGACAGGCCGGCATACAGAAAAAAAAAACACCGAGAGACCCAATGTCTATCAAAATCTACGAAAAAACAAGTCGTATGTTCAAAGACCCATGAGGCCGAACTAGAAGAAAGTTAAAAAAACAGTAAACGGACCAAAAATGCCAGGGAGGAGTTCACTACTCAGTGCTCACATCAAAAACACCCTGTCCGAACAGCCAGCCATGGCTGGGAGTCGAAAAGAGAACTCCCCCAGGATACTAGAAATTTACCAAAAAAAAAAAAAAAAATGCAGTGTGACGTAAGCCATATCCAAGCATCAGGCAAAATAAGATCCAAAAACACTTCCATGCCAACAGCTTAATCCGTGTTCCATAGCTCCCTCATCCGAGCATCTTCGCAGTCTGTGTCCAAATTTTGTCCTTGCGAAAGGCGAAGCTCTGCAGGACACGACCAAAGAAATCCATTGGGAATTCCTTAATTCTCAGCTCTCGCTTCAGGGAGAGCACTCCCCCTGGGATTTCACTTCGAATTGAAGTATTTTTTTGTCCATCCGGTGTAGGTAGCTATCGATCGTAGCACTCTTCTACTGTTTACTACCCCACGACAAGAAAGACTGCCCGTTCTGAATCTCCAGGTCAACTGTCGCCCAGATGCGTCGTTCATTGCATGACATCCAGACACAGACCAGATATGGATACGTATTCCTACACCGAACCTCGCATCCAAGAATGTCCAATGTCCCGGACCCCGTCCTCTGTCCTTTTCAGACACAAATTCCTTCGATGGCACTCAGAGAAATGATGCTGGACCTAAGTGAGTGTCTTGAAAAAAAAAAAAAAAAAAAAAAAAAAAAAAAAAAGCGGACAAGAAGGCGGTTACCGATATCACATCGTCCATGAGACGCCGCAAACCGAACACTTGGCGGGAGCATTTGCCCAAACTGCTCAAAAACATGTACTCCGCGTAGGCACACAGCACGCAGGCCAGGGGGGGACTTAGTGGTTTTTCCCATCGGGATACCCACGTTCTGTCTCAGCGAGATGCTGGTTGCGTTAAGTGTAAGTGTGCATTAGCTCAATGCGCACAAAGGACCTCACTTCTCTGAAGTCCGACAGACGCCGATGATCAGCTCCAGTCGTCCTCACTTCTCTCAAGATATCCGGATGTGGTAAGCAACTGAACATATCCTTTATGTCAAAGGAAGGATTGTGCTATCACATCGGAGGGGCGTCCAAGACGACGTATCTTCGAGTTCATCAACTCTATCCTTGCCGTCAAATGCTAAACAGCAACTAGATTGAAGTGACAATCACGTGGGAGTTTGGCAAGCAAGAGATTCAAGCCCTTCGCTACAACCCCTACCCGTACGAACAATAGGTTCAACAAAAATAGGGCATGATGGGGCGGTACCGCATCAGATCCTTATGCTTAGGAATTACATAGGAGGATCCGATGCTCCCTTTTTTTCTTCTCATCTGGTGAACTTCCGAAGACCGACCGCATCTACATCCTCCCAGATCTCTCTTAACACCATGTCCTTTATCTCATCTGGTGAACTTCCGAAGACCGACCACATCTACATCCTCCCGGATCTCTCTTAACACCATGTCCACGTGAGCATGTTTGACTTTGTATCCTGAGTTCAAAACGAATGTCTGCATCATTGCCTCGTAATACATCTTAGCGCACATAATGACAGTCTCACGGGGGTTGCAGTCAAGAGGAGTCAACACGGTATCCAGAGTCAAAATCACCTTAGTTTTCAACACGGTATCCAGAGTGAGAACAAAAGATTGATAATCGGTACTGCAAATCATACAGTTTGACAACATGGTGTCTGAAATCAATCTTGTTGACAACATGGTGTCTGAAATTCCGCCAGTTCTGAAAACCTTCACGAATGTCATCCTTCAAATACTGCAAACGATCAGCAATATGCACCGTCGGGATATTGTTGGCGTTAGCTAACAGAGGATGATCAACCATAACCTTACTCATGTGAAAGTGAATTTGCCCATCCACTCTACGATAGGGTAGGCCTGCACACTGGCAGGTCTGATTCAGCACATTTCGAGCCGCAAAGGCTCAATGATTGTGCAACAACTCTCCCACCGTCCGTTTTTTCTGCCACGTCGCAAAAAAACAGGTTGGCAAATCACAACTCATCAACAAATCGTTAACCACCTTTCAAAGCTCGCACAGCCGCATCCTATCATCAAACTTTACTCTAATTAAAAGGTATGTGCTAAGGCTTTTTTTTTTTTTTTTTACTGCAACACCCGTCAGTGCTAGCGGTGCTGGTAAGAGCAGACACCGCTAGCACCTGGGGGGGCTCCATCTATTGGTGGGGAGCAGCACCTGCTGGAAACCGGGTCCAGCGTCCCTTACATAGACAAGATTCAAGTCACATTACCTCAGAAAAAATATAGTATGATCCTGCCAGCATTGATTACCCTGAAGACCAGGGGATTGACTGAGCAGGAGGGGGGAGCCTCTTCGCCCTGAACCAGGCGCCAGATATCTGCTATCTCTTCCTGGCTCCCCCACTTCCGAATTCTGATGAAGAACAACCCTGTTGGTTTCAGAAGACCCTTTCCCCCACTGCTTCTTTCGTCTGCATCAGACCGTCAGATCCACATCACTCACTCTGCGCCATACCATTGCATGTCGACCATTGCCAGCTGGTGGGGCGGGAACGGATCGGGGAAATCAGTGGGTGGTCGCAGCGGGATCTCCTCTCTCACCGTGGTCCAATCTCTGAAGCTGATAGAATAATCTCTCCTGAGCTCGTCTTGGTGGCATTCCCGAGCCGGTACGCCGTCCCATTGAACGGAGGCGAACCAGCCCCCCTTCTCACTTCCCAACCAATCCCCCGAGAATTGCTGAATTGCTTGTTTTATGTCCTTGGGTGTCTGAAACAGATCCAATTGGTTTTTTATTTTTTGCCACTGTGCCCTGAACTGTTTTATCATGTCTGTTACTTCCTCCCCAGCTATGCGGACCCCCTCTATTGCCAAGATACAGCGTTTTCTCCAGAGGGCCCACATGACAGCTCTCCTTCCCAGCTTGAACATGTTGTTTTCAGTGGGGGAGTACCACGTTTCGCACAATATGGCTCTCCAGTCCCATGGCCAGTTGGAACCTGTGGCTAACTGTGTCCAGATTCTATCCCACCACCGCCATGTGAGCACGGCTCCCGGACACTGCATGAATATTTGCTCTATGGTTTCTGGGATTCTGCGGGAGGGGAAGGCGGTGTGGCACGACTTACACCATGGTAGCGCCCGTCCCTTCTGCTCCAGATATGTGCGGTCGATCAGCCAGTCGTTGGTGGGTAGGCAGCGGTGTTCTATCTGCCATTGTAGCGAGGCCATCTTCGCCGGCCTGGACTTTGTGGCGGAGAACCATCGGATGGGACGGATTGCTTCAGTTCCTATATTCAGGTGAGACCTCCACCGGTCCTTCACCTTTTCTTTTATATTCACTTTTGGTCGCAGCAGCCGGTAGGTGGCTTTTACCATCAAGGTGTACAACTTCATGTTGTCCCCTTTGCTGCGCTTCCACTGGGGGGACCACTGCCACTCCTCGGGATCAATTGGGAGCTCAGTCACGGGTGTGTCTGGCTGATATGCGATCCATGCCTCTTTGTCTTGTATCACACGGATCCTGTGTAGGTCAGAGTTCCCCCACCATTTCATCACTTCCGGGGTGTACCGGATGAGCGCGTTGTTCCTACCAATGTGGAAGAGAGCGGTCAAGGATTCGTCTGCACGCACCTCTACCACGTTGCCTACGCTCTCCGGGTCGCCTGGGGCTGCTACCCAATCCCCTTCTGCCAACCGCGGTCCTCTGCGCAGGATATTGACCCAGTCCAGGGGAATGGCAAAGATCAAGGTTTCAATGTGTTATTCCACTTTGTGAAAATACTTGAGTGTGGCCCTGAGTTGCTGTGCAGTCTTCTAGTCTCCCACTTGTGTGTCCCATATATCTTTTATTCTGGTTATACTTTTTTTTACCCAGCTGTTATACTTTTTTTTACCCAGCTGTTCCATGGGGTGCCTGAACTGCAGTACACTCTACTGTTCCGGTCTGTTATCCACCTATTCCCGAAAAGGGGTTGGCGTGCCATCTCTTCGCATCTGGTTTGTGGGGGTTTATCGGGCAGCGGGAGTTGTCTCCAGGCGTGCAGAACTCGGGTCCAAAAGTCATCCCTGGCCAGATCCAGACGGGATCGTGGTATTGTCCAGTAAAGGTCCTCCAGCCAGGTTAGTGGATTGACTCCCGGCGGTGTCTGCGGGGCAAGCCTAGCTATTTGTTCCAACGCAAGGGCATGCCATGGGAGGCGTTGGGTGAATAACAGTCTTCGGATCCATTGAATTGTTAATGCCTTGAGCTGAGTATCTGGGTCCAAGATCCCTAGGCCTCCTTTGTCTTTAGGTTGAATCGCCGAGCTCCAGGCTACCCTGCTAATAACATTTGGAAGTTCTTGGTTTCCTCTCCATAGCAGGGTTGTTACCTGTCGCTTTAGTGACCGAACGACCTTCTTGCTGAGGGCCCAGATTGCAGATTTGTACCAGAGGGCCGTCAATACCATGCTATTGATTGTCAATGCCCTGCCAATAAGAGAGGTATGATGGTCTTTCCAGTGTGCCAGTTTCTCTAGAGCGGGCTTCAGGATCCATTCGTCGTTCGATGTGGGTCTGCCCAGTGCCGTTAACATGATTCCCAGTACCCTGACCGGGGCCGTGTCTGGCAGCCACTTAACCCGCGGAAGCTCGGGGGGGCGGACCCCTTGGTGGTGAATCCACCAACCCAGGGTCTTGTTCCCCCAGTTGACCGTCATGTCTGAAACTGTTGTAAATCGATCGAACAATCGCCTGATCTCTTCCATGTTTGCTGCAGTTGCGTCGACCATGAGTGTCAGATCGTCCGCGAACATTGAGTAGATCGGGATTGCTTCTTCTGGGATGGAAGAGATCTGCAGTTTCCTCAGGTCTTTGTTAGTTCGAAGATTTGTTGTCAGTGCCTCCATCACTGAAGGGTGTCAGAGGGTCCCCCTGACGGACCGACCGCTGCAGTGGGAAGGGTGGTGCTATCCTTCCATTGATTTGAACGCACGTGGTTGCGTTATAGTGTAGCACCGCAGTCCAACACCGAAAATTTGGCCCTATGTTCATTTTTTCCATACATTTGTCCAGGAATAGCCAGTCCACATGGTCGTAAGCTTTTTCGAAATCTATGAAGACCACAACAGCGTTTTGGTTGTCCTGTCTTGTCAGCTTGAGTACTTCATTAACTAATAGTATGTTATCTTGGATCCTGCGATCTTTGATGAACCCGGTTTGCATTAGATGGATAATATCTTCCAGGACGGGGAGCAGCCGGTTCGCAGGGGTCTTTGCTAGCATTTTATAGACAACTGTGAGCAAGGTTATTGGCCTGTAGTTTCGGATGTCCATCTTATCTCCCTTTTTGTGTAACAAAGTGAGAATGCCCTGGCCCACCAACTCCCTCATTGTCCCTGTTTCCCACATCTGCTGATAAAACTCCATGAGATCCGGGGCCATCTGCGTCCAAAGGTTTCCCAGAACCCATCGATGCCCGGCGTCTTCTCTTCTTCCATCTGCATCATCGCCGTCCATATCTCCTCCTTGGACAGGGGTCGGTCCAGGTCTATTTTATGCTGGCCTGTTAGGGTCTTCTCTATTGGAGTCAAGAAATCCGCAATATCTTTTTCCCTGGCATTTCTCTCCTGCCGGACGCACCTTGAGGTGAACAGGTCTTGGAAAAATGATCGTGCTATTTGTGCTCAGTGAGGGGTGGAGGTGACGATATCTTGATGTCCGGTTTGTGGATCATAAAGTGCCTCGATGGTAGTTCTGTGCGAGCGCACTCTGACCATGCTAAAAAAAATCATATCCATTGTTCCTTCTGTTTGGTACCTTGTCAGTCGTACTCCTTCCCAGCGTTGCGTGGCGAAAGCCTGAAGTCGGTTTCTGAGCGTTTAAATCTCTGAGCATTCTTCTGCTTGCAAATTTTGGCTGTCGTTCGACTGGTCCTGGTGCTCAAGTTGTTGCAGCTGGTGGAATTCCATTTCCTGTTGAGTTTCTTGGCTGCCAATAGTTTAGAGTATTCTTGACATTTTTTACCCAGATAGAATAACCCGTTGTTGAACCAGTCAATTGCTTGTTGGAAGTGTTGTTTTTGCATGTGCCAGTATTTCCAACAGTCTGCAATGTAGTTGTGAAAGGTTTTTTGTTTCAAAATGCAAGTGTTGAGCTCGTAGAAGCCCGGACCCCAGTCTGGTTTCTTTCGAAAGGATAGAGTAACCGTGCACATTTTGTGGTCAAGGCCCAGGTATGGACTTGCAGGCAAGATCGTTGCTAAAAGCAGCGATCCCCCCATGTCTTTCGAGATGAGGATTAAATCAATCTTGGATTTTGACTGACCTTCAGTACCAGTCTTCCGTAGACATGAGTAGAATCTTGTGTCTGGGTTCAGTTTCCGGAAGGAGTCAAAGATTTTCAGGGAGAGGCATAAGTCGTTTATCATCCACTAATCCTCCTCCACGTAAGGGGGTCCGCCATCTATCCATCCATCGGTCCGGGGCTGCATTGTAGTCCCCTGCTATAATGACTGGGACCCCTTTCGGTATCTGTGCTTTAATATTCTCAAAAAAAATTATTCTCTCCCTTACCGTGTTGGGGGCGTAGATACACATTATACATACGATTTCGATTTCCAGTGTGACCATGTCCACCTGCCTTCCTCCTGGTCCATCACCCAATGGACCGGGTCCGCCCTGGACTCCGGGGGGATCCAAATGGCCACCCCTGCACTTCCGGGTTTCGGGGCATGGGCCCTGAAGGCTCGGTATGGCCAGATCATCTTGTGGGTGCGGTTGTGCTCTGGGGTGTCCATCAGGTGCGTTTCCTGGACACAGACGATATTTGGCCAGTTTCTCCCCCCTACTCCTTACATCAAATCCCAGATTGCATTTTGTTTTTCTGGTTTACATGAGGCCAGGCCGTTCACATTCAGCGAGCGCAAGTCGAGGTCAGCCGCTGTCCTGCATTGATTCCAGATGCGGTATTTCCCATACACTGCCCTAACTGGGTCTATCGTGTTAGCGCTATTCATTATACCCTTAAGGCTAAGGTTAAACCTCTCCACAAAAACTCCTGAGATCAGTTTGCAAAGGTACTTCCTGGTTGATTTGTATGTGAAGTCCTTCACCGCGCGATAGAGACGTAAAACACTGCGCATCTCCCACTAGTAAACTTGAGATAAGTACTTGGGTTTCTTCATAATTGAAATCAACACCTTCTTCAAATAGTTGCACTATGGCTTCCACGATCGCAAGTAGTCCGCAGTGATCCTCCCTTCGCCTTCGAGTCGTCCGTTACAACCCTTCAATAGAAGTTTCTCAGTACCAATTGTTATCGTAGATTTCTCCGAAGGCCTTGGAGAACTTTTTTCATGGTGTATGCCATATATTCCCTACACTTGTATAGATCGCAAATCAACGTGAACCCACTTCTTCCTATTCCTTGAGGATGTCAAAAAGGTTCAACCGCCAGTTATCCTCCTGACGCGTACGAAAGCGCAAAGGTGCGATCGTACGGTAGTTTCCTATCGTATGCTTGCCAGACCTGACTCTCTCATCCTTGCCCTTCTTACTCCAGCTTCCCGTGTTCTTGAGCGGCTTCCTGTCGCCTGACGTATTAAGATACGGAGACCATTGGCGTATGTAGACATCCTCCAGTGTCGTCAGCTCATCATTGATGATAGAGTCTACCAGAATAAGTACATAGTTGTCAACGCCAAACGAAGTCAACCACCTACAGAAGTGAATCGGTTTATGCGTGCGACAGGCATACAAGTGTTCACGCCACCTAGTATCTAGGTGTCTGGATGAGACTTGCAAAAGGGTGACACTGCCATGTATACACACCCGGAAATATTCACAAAGTCCGGACTGAAAGTGTCGTATAGTTGTAGCCACGCATCCAAGCATTTGAGATTCCAACGAAATAACCCAGAAAAGGACCATCAAACTTTCAGCAATCGAAGAAGTTCCTCTACAACAATGCCAACACACTTACTCTTAGCCCTCCACTTTGTGAGACAGCCAACAATCTTCCAAAGGTCAGCAGTGCTGAAGCCACATCACTCAACTTCTGGTTTACCATCGCCCTCGGTGGTTTCCTTCGTCTCCGCTTCTTGTGAAGTCTCCGCCTCGTCTTCATCGTCCGTATCGTAGGCAAGCTTGATATGGTGAGCAGCTATATCAAAAACAGCTTCGAACTTGCCGTTATAGGGAATACCTTCATCGCTGCACACGTTTTGCAGCACCAAAGCATCCAAGTTCTTCAATTCATGCATAAACTGCTTCTCAAGCTTCAAACGCGCAACCATTCCAATAGATGTTGGGATCTTCTTCTTATGAATTGACGCAGGCGTCTTCTTCGGGGTCGGGGTCACGGTCTTCATCTTCTCCTTAGCCCTCGATCTAGTAAGCTTAAAGGTAAGATTCACCGGCTTGCCTGTTTTCCTCGGTGTTCTCTTTGGCGGCAGCTCCGTAGGAGGGCTGTCCTCAAAGACCGGTTCCTCACCTCTTTTGCGTTTCTCCGTGATACAGAGATTGCGGGTCCGAGTACTCGGTTCTTCCGTCTCGCTGCTGCTCCCACTATTGTCCGATGCGGAAACCGCCGGTTGTATTTTCTTCTGCTTTCCACGTGTCACTGCTACGAACAGTTTGCCGATTGCCTCCCGAATCTCTTGCCGCAAGTCCTCACGTACATCCTCCCACAACTCACCAACACGCACTGCCACTTTTATGTCCAAATTCTTGTTCATTTCCTCAATACGGTCAGCTTCCTTCCTAGCCTTTCCCTCCTCCTTTTTCTTCGTCAGCTCCGCTGCTGCACGTTCAACTTTCTCGCGTTCCTCAGCTTCCTTCTTCTCAGCCTTCTTCCGCTCCTTGGAAGCTTTCTTCTGATGTTCATTCTCCACATATTGGCACACCGCGGCCACACTCTTGCCGATCTCAGCCACCAGCGACCGAATCGGGTTACTGGGTATGCACCTTGAATAACTAAATTTGTAGCGTCGCGGCGATACAGATCCTCCTCGTCGGAAAAAGAAAGGAAGGGAAACAGGAAGGATGGACAAAACCAAGGAAGGAAACTGAAAAGGAAGGATGGAAAAATCAAATGAAGTCAAAAAGGAAAGAAGGAACAAGAATGCAAAGAAAAAATGAAAAGAGAGAAAGAAGAAAGGAAGAAAGCAATCAGACTGCCTCTTGTCAGCAATCCTCAGTCAACGTCGGAGGCCTAGCATTCGCCTGCCTCCGGGGGTACAGGCACTGGTTGGCATAATGCCCAGGTTCCCCACAATTGAAACAAGTCGGTGGCCCGCGTCGTGGTCCGTGGTCTTAGTTGTTCCTCTCTCCTCCATAGTCTCGCTGATTGCTTTCGTAGCCACGTTGGTCGCCATGTCCGTAATCCTGCTGTTCACCACATCCTGCCAGCGACCTGCATCAAGAATACTAACGAGCATGTGAGCTTGTAACACTTGGTCGTCAATCTCGCTTGTTAGATTGCTCCAAAAAGCACTCCAGAGGCGATACTCTCGAATCGGATTCAACGGTAACTTAAGTAATGCTTCGTAACCTGGTAACCAAAAAACGTGCTCACGTAACTCGGTAACGTGACTCCAAGATAGTTCACACGCGCCTTTATCAGTGTAAGCGGAATGACTCACGCGACAATCGCAGAGTCCGCCAATACGCCAGTCAAAAGGACAGAGCAATTGACAATGCACAATTTCTTAGAATATTACGGTGTCATACACATCAATCCACAATCCCAATGAACTCCGAACGTTCCGCTGAACCGTTCTCGTAAACCGCTAGCGCTAATAAGATTAGCGTTCGCGGATCACGAGCAACCGTAAGAGGACTAACAAATCGTGCTCTCCGTAATTAGAGGCCCCGAGACTACTCTAGCCAAGCTACGTTGCGAGTCGAATTCCGGAAAAATAGACAAAGGGCCGGCCAGTAAGGCAAGAAGCAAAACCAAAAGAACCTATGAAGAGAAGGTGTGTCTACAACAACACAGCAATCGTCTTCAGCCCAGCAGGACGAAGCTTGAAACCACCAGAGAAATTGCCACTGGCAGCTGCTCTTGTCGAAGTGAACATTGCCACTGGCAGCTGCCGGATTCCGCTAACAAGAGTTCGTTGTGATCGACGAGTCAATCTTTGGTTGAGCCAGCAGCAGAGTGTGTCTTCCACTGCAAGGATCACTCTAGTCATCGCAGGCTGCTCCCCATAAAATTCACAGGGAACTGGAAAACCCCACGAGAGTTCCCTATCCGAGGCCGAGGGGTTCCACAAGGTATTTGACAGCGTCTAGATTCCCTGTGCCCCCCCCCCTCTTTGTAACTTCAGCCCTTCTATGTTGACTGAGGATTGCTGACAAGAGGCAGTCTGATTGTGTTCTTCCTTTCTTCTTTCTCTCTTTTCATTTTTCCTTTGCATTCGTGCGCCTTCTTTCCTTTTTGACTTCATTTCATTTTTCCATCCCTCCTTTTCATTTCCCTTCCTTGTTTTTGTCCGTCCTTCCTGTTTCCCTTCCTTTCTTTTTCCTTTTTCTCTTTCCTTTTCCGTCCTTCCACTCATTCTTTCTATTTTTAGTATTACATCTTCTCTCTTTTCTTGCCAGACTGGACTTATGGCCTCGTATCACGCTTCGAGGGGGATCCTATTCTTGGGGGGGTGCGCGAAAGGGTTCAGTGGGTGGTATTACCCTTTGCAGCCCTTTAGGGGCTTCCGCTACATGCCACCTTTGGTCCCTCTTACTGACGAGGGGGTTGTAATCTAATTTCTTTGGCATATAGGACTTCTTTTGGACACTAGATTCAGTAAGTATCTGGCGCTGACGTAGGTAGGCGGCGGGTGCCTTGGAATCGCGTCGATTTTTGGCGCAAAGATGTATGTCAGGATGGTGCAGTCTCAAGTTGCGGTTCTCAGGAATTGAGGGGCATCCTATTCTTGGGGGGTTTGTTTGGAAGGGTTCGATCGGTGGTATTACCGTTTGTGGGCCTTTCAAGTTTTAGTGACTTGCAGTACCACCTTGGGTCCTCATCGCTGGTGAGGGGGTTGTAATCTACTTTCTTCAGCATATAGGTCTATTTCGGACACAAGATTCAGCAAGTATGGGCGCCCCCGCATAGGTAGCACCGGCTGCCTTGGAACCGCTTCGATCTTTGGCTCGAAGACATATGTCAGGATGGCGCAGTCTCAAGTTATGTTTTTTTCAGGACCGTCTTCTGTTGTACTGAGGTATGGCGGCCGTTTCATACTAAGACTGCACTCCCATCTGCCACATAGGATCCTGTTTTCCCGATATACTTCTGCATGACGGAGTCGGGGGCTTTGTTCTTTCAGGAGGTATTGTGGTGCCGTATGGTTCGACTTCGATTAGTTTACATGCTTGTCCATCATGACCGGCACTACGATTTCATCCTGTTCGAGACGTACGGTGGTAGTGCGCTAAGAATGCGTCCCTGCCTGGCACATTGGATCTATTTCCTCGATATATATACTTATGTCTGACGGTTTCTTTCAAGGGCTTTTGCCTTTCGTCAAAGTTTTGCGAAGGTATCGTAGTGCTGAATGGTTCCACTCCGACTATCGGTAAGTTTATCATCGTAGCCCAGTGATCGTTCCGCAACCGGATGGTATCGAACCGGTGACCTTGGATATAGCAGCCAGATGCCTTCACCATTGCAACCGCGACCCGGTGTTCAAAAGACGGAAGCCATACCAGCCGTGGCATTCAGCCCGCCCCGGTGTTCAAAAGACTGAAGCCATACCGGCCGTGGCATTCAGCCCGCCCCGGCACCGTTGCAGCAAGGACGTACTGGTCCACACATGACATCCATGGTATCCTCCCCAGGCAGCAGCAGCATCCACGCGGAATCCAACATCCTCCGCGGTTGCCAGCATCCACCCATACACCAGAATCACTCCATAGATAAGTAATAAGATAGTGGCATTTATAAGAAAGATTTCTGGAAAGAGGGCTAAAAAATCATTGTCAAACATGGCTACCTCCTCTTTTTTGGTCGGCGGCCGGTCAAATACAAAGGCCCTTTAGGGCCCAAATTTCCCATGTTGTACCAAACAAATTACTTACAGGGGTATGCATACACTCTAGGAAAGGTGAGCCTCCCCTGGCTGATTAATGGGCTCGTAACACTGTTAAGTAAGTTTATCATTGTAGGTCAGTTATCGTCCAGCAACCAGACGGAATCGAACCGCTGACCTCGGCTATAGCGGCCAGATGCCTTTACGACGGCAACGCGCTGACCCCTCCGACTAGTTTACATCCTTTTCCATCATGCCAGGCACCATGAGTTCATACGTCTTTTTTTTTTTTTTTTTTTTTTCACCTGGGGAGGGATCCATCTATTGGTGGGGAGCAGAACCTGCTGGAAACTGGGTCCAGCGCCCCTTACATAAACAGAGTTTAAATCACATCAATCGCATCATACGTCTTAATTGATTGCATCGATGTACTTGCATCCGGGGCAGTCAGTCGGTGGATGGATTCACAATTTTGATGCTTGGTTATGTTGGCGGTCTGTTCAATCTAGAGGACAGACAGGGTTAGGGTAAGAGTACATAAGGAGACAAGGCATTGATAACGGTCACCTTCGTCGAGCTTCGGTTTGATTACTCCGGAATGTGTGTGTGTTCCTCGTGACAAGGTTGCTGGCCGGGTAGCCGAGACGTGTAGAGGAAAGGCAGTGTGGGCTGTGGCCGACAATCACGGCGAATTGGGGTATGGGTTTGTGTCAGGCCCCCGGACTGTTGTCCAGGATGGATTCATTTCAGCGGCATGACCATGATCGCCAAGGCAGCTTAGGCAGGAGCAAACCGAGTCTCTTGTTTTCCTTCTTTCATAGTGGAACTAAAGAGTGTCCATATCACCCACCCCCTCTAGCAGCCTAATGCCAGTTAAGGGAAAAGAAAGGGCCCCCAGACTGTTGTCCAGGATGGAATCATTTCGGCGGGTCGAACAGGGTTGCTAAGGCAGGAGCAGACCGAGTCTCTTGCTTTGAAATTCCTTCTGTAATAGTGGAATTAAAGGGGGTCCATATCACCCACCCCCCCTCTAGCAGCCTAATGCCAGTTAAGGAGGAGGGGGAGAAGGGGGCACTCTTTGAAAAAACAGAAAAAAAAAAGGAGCCACACAGAGAAGCTGAGTATGGCCCCTGCGCAAGGATGACACACAAATATTGACAAGTGGTCCAAATAAATAAATAAATAAATAAATAAATAAAAATAAATAAATAAATAAATAAAGGTTCTAAACAGCGAAAACAGAAAAAGGAAAGAACAAAGGAACTCAACTCAGGGGAAGTAATGTCGGAGATAGAGATCCCCACATTCAAATGCTGTAGTCAAAGAATTCAAACTTGAGTGGGGTGCAGCGCAGCACGATAAACGGGAGGAGATCACAGGGGCAAGATTGCAAATCATCTGATGCTGCGTTTCTGCTCAGAGATTGGGGCAAGCTTGACTAAGGAGAGGAGATCACAGGGGCAAGGTCCCAGTTCATCATCTCATTCTGTGTTTCTACTAATGGATCCTTGTCCGAAATTCAGGCCTACCTGACCTCAGGTGGGTGATGGCATGAGGGATGAGGGAGTAAGCAAGCAAGAGGGGGTGTTGGGGTCACCGTTTGCAACAAGAATCTCACAGTCGCGGGAAGGACGGAGACGTAACCAGCGGGGGTCTCGTATAAGGTGTTAAGGTAGCTGTTGGAACAAGACAGTTAGGGCACACACTCACACTAGGCCCTCAAAAAGATCGCAAATCGCAAAATCAGCGGTCAGATCGAGGCTTTGTAAAAAGGCGGGCTTACTATTGCTGCTGATTCTGCAATTTTGCAATTCCGAGAGCTTAGGATGACTGTACTCTTATTACAGATTGTGGACGAGGTAATTGTTTGCGAGGAGGGATTAAAAAAAAGGAGGTTTGCGACGAGAGAAAATTGGTGCATTGAAAAAAAAAAAAAAAAAAAACAATTGGTGCATTGTTGCTGGAGAAGGGTGTTGCTGTCGGTAATTTTTTTTTGTTTTTGTTTTTGAAAACATAACCAGCTTCAGCTTGCTAGTCGAGGTGGTATGAGCATCCTCCCCTACTAGACCTAGTTCTTGTGGCCCCAGTCTATTCGGTGCGGGACCGCACCTGCTGGAAATCGGGCCCAACGCCCGCCCCTTATGCAAGGTAGGTTCCACTTGTACAAATGCTCTGTTTTTGGCAGTTAATGCTTTCTTTTTTTTTTTTCTTTTTTTTTTCTTTTTACGAAGCCCAGGGTGTCGTAGAGGCCAATGACTTTCTTTACCCACGGTGATTGCTGTTAGTGGGTAGCCAATGGTTGTCCTGAGTCTTGACAGGATGGTGCCACCTCCCAACCCCTCCTCATGTCAGCACTCCTACATAGCGCACCCACCCCTATCCCTACTATCCTCCCTCAGTGTGGCCAGTTGTGCTTTCTAATGTTATCGAAAAAGAGTCCAGAACGAAGCAACAAAAAAGAGTCCAGAAGGAAGCAAAAAATGCTGACAAGTAGTACCCCACCCACCCCTGAGTGAGAGAGAAACATACGACTAATCAGGAGCCAATTCTTTCTTTTTTCTTCTGTCTTATTTTTTTTTTTTTTTTTTTTTTTTTTTTTTTCGAAATGTTGTCCAGTGAGTGAAGGCATTATTTACTTCTTGAAATTTTTAAAATTTTCTCAACCGGTTGGTTGATGGAAATTTGTGTCTGTCAAAAGCCACCGCAGACGGGGCTCGAGCTATATGGTTTCGCGCACACTCTTTTTTTTTTTTTTTTTAATTTCCTTAACGGAATTAACCAGACAAATCACTCTAATTGGCACAGGCGTACTTTTTTCTTTTGTGTGTGTCTTTTTTATCACTGAGCAATTGACGGGAGAAAACAAAAATGGCATGCCGTGTATGGGCTTAGGAGTAGTGTGAGGTCATTTTCACCCAAAAATTCAGCAGAATTTGAGAGACGAATGTACCACAAATTTACATTCGATGGACTTAGTCGTTTTTGTGACTGGATTACCACACTGAAAACCGACTCCGACTATACATTGGATGGTTTGGTGTGTTAATGATTCCTACTCTTTTGACTGCAACTTCTGTATTTATCATTGCTTTTATTGCAGCTCCTCCAGTAGATATCGATGGCATTCGTGAACCTGTTTCTGGTTCTTTGCTTTATGGTGGAAATAATAATATAATCTCTGGTGCTATTGTGGCTCAGTGGATAGATCACCGGTTGGAAATTCGCATTGTGGTATCATGAGGTTGCGGGTTCAAAACTCAATTGCAGCCTTGTGCATGGCACCGGCGGGGCGTGAGAATGACGCACGACTGGACACACATTCCCTTGGGATGGAGCTCGGTAATCTTATACAGACACTGCCTGCACACCACCCAAGGTTTGTCCAGCAGAAGAAGAAGAAGAAGAAGAAGAAGAAGAAGCACAGACGCATATACCATATAGTTACTAGTCAGCAAAAAGAAATTGAAAAAACGAAATGTGACATGCCTATCTACATGAGGACCAAGTCCAACACAAGCTGAAGACAGCCATGCAGCTCTTACACTGTATGAAGTCAAAGAAGGACATCTCTTACAAGGAGGAGTTTCTTCCATATGTCGGGCGCTGATTAGGTTTTGCGCGTTGTATCACATTAAACCACATGCTCCACCGCTTGTGCAGGCCGCCGCCAATTCCTTTAGAGTTTCAGCCTTAGAGGCGGTACTCCCCAGGCGGAGTGTCTTTACTGCGCTAGCTAGATCCCTCATCGAATCGCCCCCCAAAACCAGCGGGCGTAGGCCCATTGACCATCACTCATCATTTACGGCATGGCCTACCAGGGTCATTGTTTGAATTTAAATAAATAAAAAATGGACTAAATCGTTCTCCGATTTTGTATTTTGATTGCAATATCATCTCAATCTGTTCCCCAAAACAAATAGAATTCACTGATTTCATCTCCGACATCCAGCGTTGTTGAAAAATTTAGCATCATCATTGTAAACAAACATCGTTTTTCTTAGCATACTTTGAACAGGAACACTTCGCATGATCATTCGAAGAAACTTCATCCGGTATTTGTGTTTATCCCCATTATCCCCATTGATTGCCAGAATCGTACTTTAGTATCGATGAAGTACACAAGTCAGCTTCACACCTCACGGAGCTTTCACTTCTCGCCTATTTATGACGGTATTTCACTCTGCATGAAAGCGTTTTCCATGACGGGTTTCCCGCTTATATGCTTTCAGCGGGCACCCATACCAACGTAGCAACCCGGCAATGCCACCACTGGCATGACCACCGGTCCCAGGGCCAACCCATGGTGGACCAGTTGGACTTAGCATGAGACGACGGGGATGGGTCCACCATAGGCTGACCCTGGGCCAACCTATGGTGGACCCACCCCAGGGCCAACCTATGGTGGACCCATCCCAGGGCCAACCTATGGTCCACTATAGGTTGGCCCATCCCAGACGTCTCATGCGAAGTCCAAACCAAAAGAGTAACGAATCCACACAAAACGGATAGCATCCGGATTTGGATCCTACGCTACCAGAACTACGTAGACTTACTACAGGCGTCTGATTGCCGCAAACGCTACGCTACCGGCAGTTTGCGAGCTAGTCCGAATCACCGTGAGAATTCACGAAACTCAACGCGCAAGCTGTGCTACGAGAGCATTCCCTGTATTTCAACAGTCCATGGGTGCACCAACTGAGCAAGGGCCTCCAAGAGTTTTGTTGGCCTCGGAAAGGCCAAGCCCTACC